CAGAGAAGGAAACTGAGGCTTAGAGAAATTAAATTCTCATCACAGATAAAAGGACAGAAACAGGATTCTAACCCAGGTCTTTTGACTCCAATTTTCTTCACACTATAACATACTACAATCTAGAGTTTAATTTTTTGCTGTTGAGCATTCAAATAATTTTCTCCATTAAAACAAACCTAGAAGCCAGTATCAAAATGGAAACTACAACAATTGAGAAAGATTTAATATTTTGGGATTTTTCTCCTAAAACAGACATGATGATTACAGCTACATAAACAATAACAGCAACCACAAAATCTAAGAAAAACTGATGCAAAGTCATGGAAAAAAAACTAGGATGATTTTCTTAAAATGTGTGTGTATGTATATTTTAAAACTTTATAAATAAAAACTATAAATAATGTTGGTTTATTCAAATTCTTGTTTGGATATTTGAATATTTTTGATGATTATTAATTTTTTTGTAAATGTTTTTAGAATATTCTGCACTGAAAGCCTCTTATCTAACATAGGATTGCTCATTCTTAAGTTTAGAAGTACTCCAACAGTGATGTCATTTTAAAAAAAAACAACTCAACAACAGTAGCTTTTTTTATAATCTATAGAGAACAGATCCAGTGAGAATACTAGCTAGAACAAATACCAAAATCTTATAAATTATGTTCCAACAAAAATAGAAACACTTAGTTAAGATCTTATTTTTCACAAAAGACATAATAATTAAAATGTGTTATCTCTGAAACTAAGATTTGACACAGGTCTACTTTTGAAAATCGATTACTTAATCATGTTGCTTGCCTTCTCAATAAATGAAAAATGGCTGGAGAGAGGGAGACAATTTGGAACTCATTAAAAAAATTTTAAATGAATGTTAAAAATTAACTAATTTTTAAAAAAAAGAAAAGAAAATCTATTACCAGTAAGCAGATTGAAAAGCCTTGGCTTGAGCTAATCAGTTAAAGTCAAGGATGAAGTTAGAGGTAAAGTGCAGACTTCTTATTGTTCTCTTTGTTTCAGTGCAAATTACAGAGCAGTTAAACCAGATGAAATTAAACAATAAGCTTTCAATTCTGAAAATACTGCTGACTTTTCCTGTTCCTCTAACCTAAAGCTGTATATCCTAATGAAACCAAAAAAGCAAGTCAACAATTTCACTACTGAAATATAATTATCAATTCTCTTAAGATTTTGAAACAGCAAGCAGTACAACACACACACACACAGGTATGTGTGTATCCAAAACACTGATGACTAAAATGTCACAGTGCCTCAATTATTCTTAATTCTGTAACACCCTTGTCTTCCATTTCTCTTCATTTAAGAAATGCAAGGTTTTCAAGCCCTATAACAAAGAACAAGTGTTCTGTAGCAAACAAAACTTTAAGAGGCAAAAACCACTTCTGTTAACTAATCATATTGCTCACATTTAAGTAGCATTTTATGAACACAAAATGTTTACATTCACTAACTTGATTATCAACAGATAGGCAAACTGAGGCTCAAAAAAAACCCCAAAGCAGTAATATACTCAAAGTTTCTATTTAACACATGAACCCAGGTCACCTGACCAAATCTAATGTTCTTTCTACTGTACAACACCGTCTTTCATTATTCCTTATGAAATCTTGTAATAATCAATTAGAGTAGTTCTGATAATAATTTCCAGGTTTTAAGAGGCAGCTAGGTGGGGCAAAGCATAGAGCAATTGGCCTTGAAGTCAGGAGGACCTGAGTTCAAATCTGGTCTCAGACCAGACACTTGACATTAATTAGGTGTGTGACCCTGGGCAAGTCACACCCCATTGCCTAGCCAAAAATTTTTTTTAAAAAATCCCAGGTTTTGGCTTCAGGGAACAAAAAGAAAGGCATAGAGGGTCTCTAACATTAAAATTATCTCCACACTTTTGTGGAAATTTTACATTCAGGCAATGATGTTAAATTAACATATCTTATGTCTTTTAAGGCTTTAAGTAGTTGGCCCTGTGTTTTGTTATTCTAATACTATAAATTTACAATGGTTTTAAAATATTTTTATTGCCTCTTAAAAACACCACAGAATGCTTTGAAACAAAACGGGATTAAGACAACAGAAAAGTTATGAAATTAACAAAAGATTTAAATAACAATTTATCTTTTATCTTTAAAAAAGTGACAATACATTCACCCTACATATCACTTTATAACAATTTATGAATCAATTTGTCTTTTAACCACTCCAAACTACACATACTATTCTGGTTAAGTATAAAATGACTATTATGTTTGTGGGATTTAAACATATATAATAATATCTTGTAATCAAGCTCAATAAACTTGATCCACAAAAATTTACTAATTTTTACATGCCTTCCCTATGTGAATCTGTTTTGAAGTAAATAAAAGAAACAAGCCAAATTGATGCTGACCCCTGACAGAGAACTACCTAGTACATTTTGTTGAGTTGGATTTTTCTTTATATATGTACATACTTAGAACAGGACTAATTAAGGTCCAGTTCTAAAACTAATTAGGGATGTGACTATCAATTTCCTCATTTATAAAACAGAGGGACATGCTTTGTAAATTGTAAGGCATTATAAAAAAATGTGAGCTACTATTAGTTTGTATTTCTATATTAAAGATGTTTAGATGCACTACTTATATAATAAAACAAGAGCACCTTCAGATTGTGTAATGATGCCCTTTGTACAGACCATTAGTCTGTGTAAGGGCAGCTAGCAGCATTAGCTGTATTAGGTGTTGTGGCTAAGCACTGGGTCAAATCTGGCCTCAAACACTTACTAACTGTACTGACCCTGGGCAAATCTTAACCCTGCTAATCTCAGCTTCCTCATCTATACAATGAGCTGGAGAAGGAAATGGCAAACCATTACAGTTATCTCTGTCAAGAAAACCCCAAATGGTGTCACAAAGAGTCAGAAAACTGAAAAATGACTCAACAACAGTCTGCTTAAAACAGACAAAATGAGACATTTTGTGGACATTTTACTAACAAAGTTATTTTCTAAAATTTAAAATTTACTTACAAATGTGAAAGTACTTTAAAGGTAATGTGCTATAAAGATTAATTATAGTTCACATCATCAAAACAGCTTGACATAATTAAAATTTACATTATAAAGTGTCATGTCTGATTACATACAACTTTAAAAGTTTTTGCAGAAACAAGACCAATGCAGAGAAGATTAGAAGAAAAATAATTAGAATTTTTTTTGCAGCAACTTTCCCTGAAAAAGGTCTCATTATCAAGATACATAAGGAACTGATTCAAACTTATAAGTGTAAGAGCCATTCCCCAGCATATAGAGTCAAGGCACTTCAAGGAAAGAAATCCAAGCTGTCAATAGCCATATTAAAAAAATACTCCAAATTGCTAATAATTAGAGAAACATAAATTAGAACAACTCTGAGGTTTCATCTTATACCCATCAATTTGGCAAAGCTGACAAAAAAGCAAAATGACAAATATTAGAGGGGTTGCAGGGAAAATAGGCACATTAATGGGGGGATCTTGGAACTGGTCCAGCCATTCAGATAAGCACTCCGTAACAATGCACAAAAAGTTACTAAATTGTATGTATTCTTTGACCCAACAATACCATTACTAAAAACTACCCCAAGAGATTAATGAAAGAAGAGGACAAAAATGTATAAAAATGTCTATTATGGCAGCTCTTTTTGTAGTGGCAAAGAACTGGAAACCAAGGGGGTGTCCAGCAATTGGTTACTGGCTGAACAAATTGTCATATATGGATGTGATGGAATACTATTATGCCATAAGAAATGATGAAAAAGAGAAATCTGGGAAGACTTGTATGAACTAATGCAGAGTGAAGTGAGCAGAACCAGGAAAACAATTACCCAATAACAACACTATAAAGACAAACCACTTGGAAAGACTTAAGAATTCTGATCAAGGAAGTGACCAACAATTCCAGGGGACCAAGGAGAAAGCATGCTATTTACCACCTGGTGAAGAGGTGATGGACCCAAAAGTGCCAAATGGGGTACACAATTTTTGAACAGGGCCAAAGCAACGTTGGTTTTTTTGTTTTTGTCTTATTTGACTATGTATGTTTGTTACAAAGGTTTCATTTTGCTTTGGTGTTGTTTTTTCCCCCCAATGGGGAGAATAAGTGGATAGGGAGAGAAAATTTGACTTTTTTTATGAAATTAATTAAATTTTTAAAAATCATCAGAGCTAATCGGCTACTTCAGTTTGGTCAGCAAATTTTAATGAGTAGCTACTATATATAAAGCACTGTGCTAAGGCTACAAGGGTACAAACAACCGGGAGAGATGAAGGGGCAAATCAGTAAAGGCATCTTATAGGAGATGGCATGTGAGGTGAGTCTTAAATGAAACTAAGAATTCTAAGAAGCTGAAGGTTAAGAAAGAATTAATTTCAGTCATTGGAGACACCCTGTGGAAAGGCACAAAGGTGAGAGATGAAATATTAAATTCAGATTACACCAAGAAAGTTAGCTTGGCTGTAACAGAGAGGAAAGGTGGAATTATGGGAGACAATGATTATGAGGTAAAAGTCAAGCAAAAACTTACTACCTACCTACACAACATTACTTTGCTTTCCTATATATTAAAATATCAAAATAAAAGAGGGGAAAAAGATATATCTTTTAGAATTTAAATACACTTAAAAAGCTTCCTACTAACCATCATTTCAATATATATGGCAATTTTGCATCACTCCTAAGAAAAGCTACTCTTCAGCTAGGGGCTTTTGGTTTTAAAAAAAAGTGCTTTCCTAACAGGAAATATAAGCCCAAAAGAATTTCTGAACAATTTTAATGAACACAAAGGTAATGCCAAATTTAAGCCTGAACATAACAGAAGCTACGAATCCAATACAGTTAAGAAATCTAGTTCTAACAAGATTATTACAGAAATATTTCAAAAGGGCAGAGCCACTGAGGTTCCCTGAGCTCCTGCTTTCTATTAACTCATCTCTCAAAGCCCGGGCAGGTGAGGCAGGATACCCACCTTGGTGGTCTCGGTCCAGTTACGAGTGGACTGGCGTCTGCATCAGGAAAAGCACCTCCGCCATTGGTATTAATTGGCGTCCCCGGATTCGGCCGAAGAGGGAAGACTCAGGGCTGTCGAAGCCATGAAGACGGCTCCCTTTCCTCCTCCTCCTCCTCCTCCTCCTCCTCACACCTCTAGAGGGGCTCCTCCCTCCAGGACGGGGCCGGGGCACCTCGAGGAGGCCAGCGTGGGGGGGAGCCTGCGCGCCGGCTGCTGGGGTGGCTGCGGCCCCCGCCGTCCCTGCCCTGGGGATAAACAAACCATTCAGTCTCCCGGGGTGTCCCCCCCACGTCCTCGCGCCCCGGGGACACCAGCATCGCTTCCGAGGGGCCAGTAACGACAATAACGGCAATACCTGCAAGAGTAACCCAACCTGGGGGGATGGGGAGGCTAACAGGCAGCCGGGGGCGGAGGGGCCGGGGCTGGGGGGGGGGGCGGGAAGGGGAGGCGCCCGCCCGGGCCCCAGCAGCGCGGGCCCTGTCCCCGCGCCTCCCGCGCCTCCCTCGGGGGTCCGGGCTCGGCCACGCCGGGAGAGCGAGCTCCTCCCCGCGCTGCCGCTTCCCCCCCCCACCCCCCGTGAGTGTGGGCCCGAACCGAAGGCGGCAGCCGCCGCGGGGCCCTGTCCAAGAACGGGCCTGCCCCGGCCCGCGGCTGCTCAGTCCGCCCGCCCGCCCGCTCGGTCCGTCCGTCTCCGCGGCGGAGACAGACTCCCAGGGTGAAACCCGCGACGGGTGGAGGGGGGAAGGGAAGAGGGTGGGGAACAGCAGGAGGGAAGGAGGGGAGGCATCGCCTGTCCCCCTTCACTCCTCCATTCCCGGAAAGCCCGTGAGGCTGTGAAAGAGGTCGGAAGGAAGATAGATTAATTTCCCCAGAGCAAAAACAGCAGCCTTGACCGGTGTTTACCTTCCCCCTGGTCCAGCGCCAGCGCCGCCATCTTTCTTTCTAACGCCGGGCACCGCGCGTGCGTCACTTCCGCCGCCGCCGCCGCCACCGCCACCACCTGTGGGCCAGAAGCACTAACCTGACCAGGCTCAGGAGTAACCGGACCCTGAGCAGATGGGACTGGGCTGGCGCCGGCCAACGTATCATACCGTCATCAAGTCCCCGCCTGCGATTCCCCCATATCCTCTTTGCTCCTATCCTTCTGGGCCTTTGTAAAAGGCCGTCGTAATTAATGACCCGTTATCAAATAAATAAGGTCGGGTCGCCCCCATCCCCCACCCCCAGCCCAGATCCCTGGGGAATCCCGGGATGTCGGACTGGAGCCAGTGACCCTTTCCAAGGGGCACTGTTGCTTTCACTGCTTGCTGAGCCCCGTCTGGGTAGAGTCCTTAGGGGCCTCTACGTTGGCTTTAAAACTAACAAACGTTTGTTTTCGTTGGGATGCTACCACGATCTACGTGTTTGCACCGGACCCTTGGCTCCTGTGCAAGTGGGCAAAGGGGTTTGTCTTTCCACACTGGGTAGCCCCCTACGGGTACCGAAGAGACAAGCGGCTGTTCGGGTTATAGGAACAAGTATAAAATCCCTTTTAGCAACATGCACGGGAGTGTGAGAGAAAGGCAGAAGGAGAAAGGGGGAGGTGGTGGGTGGATGGGCGCAGTCTTGTGTTTCAAAAGTGATTACACCTGCATTAAATGACATCATTTTTATAAGGCAACTTGCATTGAAATATTGCATCACATTTCCACTCGGCTTAGTGCACAACAATTACGTGTTCAGCATTGTACATCTCCCAGTGGTGGATAATTTATAGAAAATGGCACATATGCACCATTAAGAGAAATCATTTGAGCAATCTAAAAACACTATTCATTTCTATCTGCGCCAAAAGAAAATGGCAGAAAATTTCAGAATATATTGAGTAGGCAAGTCACAATCAATATTTATTTACATATCAACACCCAGATTCTAATTAAAGCTGTTAAAAAGTGTCGATTTTTCTTTGCCTCCGTTTTTTTCTCAGAAATATAAAACTGCAATATGCATCTATTTTATGAATCTAATATTAGTTTTCTTCTAGAAAAATGAAGGAAAGGACAGGAAGAAAATATTTGGAGGTCAGTGTTCATACTACAAAAGTACATTAAGAGATTCGTTATTATTAAACATAAAGGATAAATGCCATGGATTTGGGTTTTTCACTTCTCAGATAAGCTTAGAATATAAGCAAACATCCAGGTAAAATGAAATCATATGAACAATTTTAAAAGACCCTAATATTACTTTTCCCTAGGAAGATTGCAAACAACAGTTAATTTTCAGCAGACCAAAAGAATATACACATAACATACATTTTGCAGAAACAGACCACATAAAATAAAAATAAATAATGAAGGGTTAGCCATACCACACTGAAAAAAAAGCACCCAGTTTGAAGGCATGAGGAAGAAACTACCTCAAAACCTTAGTATTTAGTCTAATACCTTCATTTTAGAAATAAGGAAATAGCTCTACTTTGTGTTTTCATTTGTTACTGGAAGTTTTCTGGTTAACACTTCGGTGTTAGGTGTTGTGGACAGAACATTGGGCCTGGAATCACGGAGAAGTGGATTCAAATCTGGCCCCAGACACTTACTAGGTATGTGACTCTGGACAAGTCATTTAACCATGTTTGTCCCCATTTCCTCATCTGTAAAATGAGTTGGAGAAGGAAATGGCAAACCACTCCAGCATCTTTGCCAAGAAAATCCCAGATGGGGTCACAGAGAGTCAAATATGACTGGAAAAGACTGAACAACAAAAACAAAATTCAGTAAATTCCCATGGCTCCCTATCACTTCTATGATCAAATATAAAATCCTTTACTTTCCCAGACTTCTTACTCCCTACCATGTACTCTGTGATCCAGTGACACCAGCCTGTTGCTCAAACAAGACCACCTCCTGTAAAACAACTGAACAATTACATTAGGTGTTGTAACTGATGAGTTCTCACCCCCTGAAGGTTGAGTATGCCCACAGAGCTTCCTCTGGGCTTCTAAGACAACAGAGGAATAGACATGAGATGGAAGTGATCTAGGTCATAGACTATGTTCAAATTTGAGAAGCAAGAACAGAAAGGGGACTTTAGAAGATGGAGCGGAGGGAGAAGCATTTTGTTTATGTTCTTACCAGACTTCTTGGAAGTGGACTGTGTAACTTGGGCCAACCATTTCCTGTGCAAAGCCTTTCCCTGGAACCTGCTAGTGTCAGGTAGAGGGAAAACCATTTATAGTCCTGCTCTAGCCAGCATCATAGTGAGTGAGAAAGGGAGGATTCCACTGAGTTCTCCAGTGCTATGCTGTTGGGGACTTCTTAAGTGGCTGATTCCAAATTACCAACATTGCACCATACCTACCTTTGCCCCTACCAACAACAGCTGAATTGAGGAGGTCTAAATCTAAGTCCCTAAACTGTCTTACATGCCTGTGTTTTCTTTGGATGCTGTCTAAATTTAAGCATCTGAACTGTGTTCCTTGAATTCCTGAATTTGAGGACATACCTACAGCACTGGTTGACGAGATTTGAGGTGAGCTATGAGCTTTCAGTCCTCACAGTAGTTGTTTTTATATATATTTGGTGTTACTTTTTTTCCATATAGGAAAAGAACAATATACTTCCTTGTGTGACTGGCTTTATCATAGTGTGTGTGTGTGTGTTGTGTGTGTGTGTGTGTGTGTGTGTAAGAAGTCCATAAAAATGTCATTGAAAGGACAAGCCTAGAGTTTTCTGATGGGTGGGAGCACCATGAGTCATAAAAGTCTAATTGGATGAATCTAAAAAATCCATATCACCTATATATGTCTATGATCAAAAAAGGTATAGGATAGGATTGTGCTCAAAAATGTTCCAACAACTGGATCTGGGAGGAAATGTACATGTGACACATTTTAAAGATTAATCTGCATTATTAACATTTTCTTTATCACTTTCTTAAGTCTAGAGACTCTAGACAATCAACAAAACAATAACTCAAGCCCTGATTTGTAACATTTCCAAAGTATAATGCTCACAATGAAAATTTAACAATCAGTTCTCTCTAGCCTGTTTGAGCTGGCTCCAGCACATTCCTGAGTATAGAAGTAACTAATTCTCTGAGAACTGGAGAGAACTACACTACCCTCTGGCGTTGCTGGGAGCAGTCAACTGTTGAAGTGAGCATGGGACTGCCAGCATTTGACTCATCAACAAATAAAGTCAGGCAGTTGGAAGCTATATCCCCTGATAGGGGTGTATGGGGTGTTCAAAGAAAACTAGCACCTCTTGTGTGTGGGCTTGCTGAGCCCTTTTCAAGGCTGCTCATCCACCTTTGATATCTACCTGTTACCCACCTCTCACTTGTGGCTGCAAGAAGACATAGCAGAAGGGCTAAACCAGGTTGAGGGTAACAGAGGGGCCTCAAACCCATTAGGGGGATGTCTACTGCAAGCATGTGGAAACTTCTTCCATCAGAATGAGCAGATGAAAACAATTTGTTCCAATGGGTCATGAAGTTGGCAGAAGTGGGTGCTATGGAGTTCTTGGAGCTTGGCCACACATCAAAGACATTGCATCCTGAGCCATTGCTGATCATCTTGATTTTTGTCTTGCCTTTGAATTTCAATGACTCTGGAAGAGACAGCAAATCTGCCTCACTTAAATCCAATTCACATGAAAGTCAAGACATCAGTCTCATGATATCACTGGTCCTCTTCCAGAACTAGAATGAAGGATGAACAACAGTGGGAAGAGATGTACTTTGGGGGTAGCTAGGTGGCACAATGGATAGAGCCCTGAAGTCAGGAGGACCTCAAACCAAACACTTGACACTTAGTACCTGTGCGACCCTGGGCAAGTCACTTAACCCCAATTGCCAAAGAGAGAGAGAGAGAGAGAGAGAGAGAGAGAGAGAGAGAGAGAGAGAGAGAGAGAGAGAGAGAGATGTACCTTGACCCCAACATCAGGATGTCATTGGGCCTCACTCAAAAGACAAACAACACCCCCTGGTGGTTAAAGTTTAAAACTTAAACAATAGTAGGGGTGGTTTTCATATTATGGTATTTAATATGATGATAATAATAG